CTCTTGCAAGCATGTTGGGATGAGTATTATGAAGCTTTTCACTTATTTTCATTTAGCATGAAATATTAAAGAGGTTATTTGGCCTTTCATGAATGTTAGGGAGTGTATTTTACTGTTTTATACATGTTTGCGGGCTCGGTTTTGGCTCCCTGTGGCTTTCCCTGGCTTGAAATGTATGCTATGAGAAAATCTATTTAATTTGGAAAGTGTTGTAGCTTGTTCTGAGAGCTTGGTTTGGCTCCTCGTGAGGCGTCTCCTCTGCTCAAAAAATCTGTTGGAATCATTGTATGCTTGGAATGTTTAGACATGCAGGTTGTTCCTTGGCTTTGGATGACTCGGTTTTACCTATAGGTGGTTGGAACTTTAATTTCTGTTATAGCTTGAATTTGTATCAACATTTGGGTCTTGTTTGTCCCTGCTGAGCTCGGTTTTGACTTGGTTTGAAGTCTCGGTTTTGGGCTTGAAATGGCTAGATCTTTAACGTGATAGGGCTCGGTTTTGGCCCCTGCTGGGCTCGGTTTTGACTTGATTTGGAGTCACGGTTTTGGGTTTGAAATGGTTGGTTCTTTAATGCTTTATGAGAGTCTGGATTTTAATATTGTTGGGCTCGGTTTTGGGCCTTGAATGGCTCGGCTTTGGGCTTTTGTTGGTGCTCGGTTTTCATTTCAGGAGTATGGGATGTTGATTTTTGTGGAGACTTGAGTCTTGACTTTTATTGAGGTGTTAAGTCTCTTTTCCTAGCTTTAAGAGCTCTCGTGTTTGGCCTCTGCTGGACTCGGTTTGGCTCTCGTTGGGGGGTTGTGTTTGCTTTGTTCAGCCCTTGCCCGAGAAGTTGTTTGGAGGTGGTATTGCTAGCTCTGATTCCTATTCCTACCCGTGAGACCTATTGTAGGTCGTTGAGTGTGATTTGGTCCTTCTTGCTAAGCTTGATTGGCTTGAATGTTATTGGTGGGTGGATCAAGTTTGCCATCCCTGTCATCCCAAAAATTATAATTACTTTAGTTATCCTTTCGTGTTTGTCAGGGAAGCATAGTAGCCATTGGTGGTTCTTTTGTTTGCCTTAGTCGTGGCCCCTTTGTGCTTTGGGTTGCCGTGGGCCCTACTTGTGCTTTGGATAGCCTCTGTTCGTGGGCTTTTGCAGCTGCTCTTTGCTGCCTTAAACCGTGAGCTCTAACAATTCTTTTCTGGGCTCTTTCTTGTCTTAACCGTAGGCCTTACTTGTTGTCACTTGGGCTGCCCTTTTTTGGGTCTTGGCAGTTGTCCCTTGCTTTAGCCGTGAACCTCTTTTGTCCCCGTTCTTAGCCTTGGCCGAGAGCCTTGGTGGCTGCCTCCTCCTCTCTATTGACCCTGATCGTGAGCGTTTATGTGGTTTTATGGGAGGGTTTTGTGCTTATTTAATGCATGAGGCTATCTATTAATTTGAAAGTTGAAGAATTTTGATTTTGGCATGAGTTTGGAAATATCAGTGGTGGTTTCCCCGGGGTCACTTCCTTTTGAAGTTTAGGAGATTTTAAACCTCATTTTGGATAGCACTTGGTGGACTTGATCAATCCTATGTCTTTGGGGTTTGGGAAAATTAGAGTGAGTTTGTCCTTTATGTTTGTTGGAAAAGACCTTGGGCCCTACTTTTTAGGTCTTCTCGATGCGAGCTTTGAGGACTGATTTATTCTCCTTTTCGGTGTTTTAGATGGATTAGTGCCTCATTTCTCTCACCCCATTTTTTGTTCTTTTCTTTCCTTGCTTCTTAGTTCGGTTTTCAATGCTTATGCCCTTTGCATAAGTGTCCAAGTATGGCCTTTTGCTATACGTGAAACCATCAAGCAAGGTCGCAAGTGGTCGTTTTGGGGCGTACGGTGTTGATGATAAAGGCACACCGAAGATAGAGCAGAAAGATGCCCTATCCTATAACATCAAGATCCAGTCATTTGATGAACAATAGGATATGGTATCCTTCACCGACATAAGTCTAGCGATAGTCGGCTTGCACCTCCTCAGGTTGTTGGCAGTCCTACGCTTGACAGCGTAATCGACTCGGTGGACAACAAAAATTTCAACAAAAATTTCTTAAAAAAAAAAGATAAGTTTTGATAAACCATTTTCAAACCAAAACATATTTTGCTACGAAGCAAAATTGATAACTCTTCTTTGCATGTTTAAAATTTGTATGCATATCAAAAAACATAAAATATACTTTAAAGCTGGTTGTCCACCCGACGAATACCTGTTTAGGTTGGGAGATAGCCTTCTGAGTGAAGTTCAAGACACCCTTCTAGTTCAAGCCACCCTTCTAGACGAGTGGCGGGTTCTATACATTCGGGTGACCGAGTAGCCTTCGTGGACCCTCGAGAATAAATGTACAGCTGAGCCTAGTCCCATACGAGTGCTTGCGGTCCCCCTCATCCGAATCTTTTTTTTGTTTTATCGAAGCTTTGGGACAGGGCACTCGTGTTACTTTTTCTTCCTTTCGGGATTTCCCCAGGAGTTTTGAGGATTTTCTTTTACTTGAGTCTTTTTTCGTTGATTTTCTCGAGTTTTCCGCTTTTCCTCGGACTTCCTGGATGACGTTTTCTTCCGGACTTTGCTTTTTTGAGATGCATTTAGGCTTGCTATACTTAAGGAACATCGGATTCACGGGCGTACAGGTTTGCTTTACATTTTACAGCACCTAATTTTTTTGTTTCTATCTGCTACCGTACTGTACAACATGTTATATTTGTCTTGTTTCTACCTCCTACTGTTCTTCCTGTATAGCATGTCATACTGCTCATGTTTCTACCTGTTTCTGTTCCACGTGCATTCTATTGTTTATTCCTGCATTGAACGCTTTATATTATATAGCTTCAAACATGTTTCCTTTCTTTATAGTATGTTTAGAGGACTACAAATATAGGGTCGTTTGATTTGACACTATAACTGAACACCTTAGAAAACGTAAACTCGTCATGTCGGGGAGCTTGGAGCTAGTGCGGTGGGCAGCACGGATATCTTCAACAACATAACACGTCTTCCCCAGCAAAACTATTTCTTTTCCTAGAAATTAAACAACAATTCATAGGATTTCGAGGTTGTTTGTCTAGCGCAACATAAGTCCTCCACCTTTTTCTTTAGGCATTCGTATAACTCTGCTGTACGATTTAAGCCCTAACTCGTTCTAGGTTCCGAGGTTGTCGTCCGATACGACATAAACTCTCGTATCTTTTAGGCGATTTGTGTGACCATGTCACGCAAATATAAGACCTAATTAAATAAAATTTGCAGGATGAAACCTTTTAATAATTTCTTCTCGAAACTGAAGCCCAACCATAGGATAGACTGGGAAACCACCGAGGTTCGTCTCCGGGTCTGTGGCCTCCCCTAGTTTCTCTTCATTTGGATTCCTCAACAATATTCCAGATTTGAGTCTTTCCTCTTTCACACCTCTTCGTCCGATTTCGTTGAAAAGTCATATCTTTTTTACTGCTTTGAAAATAGTATTCCCTGATTTTTATCGAGAGTTTTCTTAGGTGACTTCGGTTATTTAAAATGTAATTAACTATAGAGGCTTGCCCTTATAGGAAGCTTTTCCAAACCCAGCCTAAAATAAACCCTATTTAATTCTTTGTATTAAATAGGGGAACTTGTCGGCAAATAAAACGGTTTCGCAGACCAAACGGATGTCATATATTTCTTAGTTTATTTGATCGAGCCTCATCCTCAAGTCTTGTGTTCATCCCTCAGGATAGATACAGGATTTGAGGTAGAGCGATCTTTCATTTAAACTGCGGAAAATATGAGGTCAGTTTGATTTCATATTTTTCTAAAATTATATGTAAATTAAAACGTCCTTCCGAAGCGGGCGACAGGACTTCACTTCCAGCGACCGACAACTTCTAACGGGCAACCTCCCCAAACTTTTTAGCTACCGACAATAATATGGATGTCCATCTATGTCAATAGTTACGCTACCCATATTTGTTTATTTCTTTATTTTCTTAAGAAACTGATCTTTGTAATTGAGCCTTACGTGATGGGGCAACCTATTCATCTCCATTGCGAACGTTTAGAAAAAACAATTATTCTTGCATAATAAAACACTATACTAGCTTAACGTCAAATGATTTTATGCTATAAAAGTTTGGATTGAGTTATGAAGTATCAATCATTAGAATACTATGATTTGACCTCGTAATATTTTTGGGGTTCATTTTAGGTCTCGGGGCCATCATCCGACTGAAGGAAAATAAGCAAATTTGATTTTGACCGTCTTTTGTCTGAAGTGCCTGTAAACCAGCTTACAGTTGGCAGACAAGTCTTTCAGAACGTCAGTGCAGCAGCTAACTGTTATGGTTTTTTTGAATTGTAAACATTAGCATAAAATACCCAAAAATGCAATTATGGATTGAAGCCTTAGTTTATTGAACATTGTTTATTGTATTTAGGCTCAATAATCAAATTGACACCGTTGGATGAATTAGAAAGATGTGAAATTGAACCATTACTTGATAAATTTGATCTGATCCTCTTTCAATATTTTATTTGCTTATTATGACAATGATTTCTCTTTGTTCGCCACAGAATTGTGGAAGAAAATAGTTGGAGCTCCAAATCTCGATGATTACATCAGGAAGCCTGATATTCTGTCATTTCATATTGGCAGCAAACTTCCTGTCTCTGAATCTACCAGGCAAGAACTCTTAGAGATTGATGGGTTCTCATATAGATTGCGCAGGGAGATTCAGTTGCTCGAGTCTTTTAATCATATACGCTGCAAAAGTTGTCTGGTAAGTACATTTTTATCTGAAGATAAAAGTGTTTTTTCTGAGCATTTGCTTTTATTTATTTTTCTACTGACCAGATGTCGCGACCCGACCCGGGACTTGGAGTTAACCAAGACGGGAACGGACAGTCGGACGATGGAAATCAATTCTCCATTATTCTAACTCTATCACTAACAATTTAATATTTAAAACAATACATGAAAGAACCACTAAAGAAATAAATTAAAATTAACTAATAGAAATTGTACCTTTTTTGTTGTTGTTCTCGCCTCTTGTATGCATTTGCTCCACTTTTATTCATTTTGTTCAAATGTTTAAAACTTAAAAATATATTAAAACAACATAATGAGTAATGAGTTATTTAAAGATAACTCAGGAGTAATCACACTTCTAAATTACAGTAATTCAATGAGAAGAATTCAATTTGTATGTTGCAAATCTATAAGAAATCATATAATATGTTGGTCTTTTCTGCATGTCTATCTTACATGTTTTGCATAAAATATCAATCCAAATATCATTCATCTCATGAATATCTTTTATGCATGCATATTTTTTTCTACTATGCTTATCATGCACATTTTTTCTTACTATGTTTATCATGCATATCTTTCATATCTAATAATATGAAGAATTTACTGCAGTATAAATCTAACTAAATTAAAGTATACATATAAATCAACATACATTCTGAAATAAAGAAAATTACTGAAATTTAGAAATATAATTACTTACATCAGTTGTCATTCCTAAACTCTTAATCTTCGATGGTTAACTTGAGGTTGCGGTGATCTTCATGTTGAGCTTAATAGTTTATAATACATAATATTAAACTTAAGATTAAAATTATTTTCGTAAATTAAATTATTTTTCTTAAATTAGCATATGAATTTGCTACCTGAACTTTATGGAGTCGTTCTACGACGATCTTCTACACACTTGCTCTCAACTTCTTGCTTCTACACACTTGCTCCCAACTTGTTGCTTCAGATAAATAGCTTGGAATCTTAAACGAATTAGAGATTCATATATAAGTTCATTATGCAATTTAGCTCAAAATATGATTAATTTGCCAAAACATATCTTAAACGACTTTCTCGATGACCAGCTCTTCTCAAAAGCTACCAAATTTGCATTCCATCACCTCCAACCATACCTTTCCTAGCTGATTTCGTGCTAGAACCCTTATGGAAGCTCGCCAAAGACTTTTTCGACACAATCGGCGCCTCCGACGACTACTGAAAAGGAAAAAAGGCACGAAGAAGGAGGCAAAACTCAAAATGAAAGTGCGAGGAAGAAAAGGATTGCCTTAAATTTTATGAAAAAGAGATTCACACTTACAAAAATATTACCCTAGAGCCCTAAACCGCATCCCGTGGCTTTCTATGTGCCGCTCGACTGTTTGTTGCCCACGGCCCTTGCACTGTAGCAAGGGTCGCAGCTCCCTCACACCTGCTTCAGCCGCGTGAGAAAGTGACAGGGAGCGGGATCGAGAGAGTGAGAGGAGCGAACAGGAGTCGGAAGAGAAAATCGGGAGGAACATTCGAAGCTCAAGACTCCTTCAACTGAACGAAGGAAATAAAAGCGGCGTAATTGGTCGAGAGAGAGTTAATTAAAGGACTAATTGGGTTAATTAAATATATAACTTCAAACTTTTATATCTTCCAATCCATTCATAATTTGCATACAGTGATTAAATAGAATTGATTGATTTATTGTGTAAAAATTTCTAAACTTGTTTCGATTGAAATCTTAGGGGTGCAAAAATTGAAGTACAATTTAAGTCGCCAAAAATTTTCTTCAATTTCTCAAAAATTTGCTATTACACCAAACTTGAGGGTCAATGGTCAGAACTAGTCTTCAAAACTAATTTATGAAGAAGGAATACTTGTAGATCAGTGATTCTTAACCCCATGCATGCTGAACACCACCCAGAGCATAACATGGATTCTACAGTGTGCCCATACATGCACGTTGGGTTCCAGGTGATGTTGGGGACAAAACTAAAGTGGGTTTGAAAGTCATTTTCATACTTCTAAAAGCTTGTGATGTGTTAATATTTCATCAAGTACTCATATGTTTCATTTTGATGCTCATGAATCATGATTGTCTGATCAGGTATTTCATTAGGTGATATCTGATGCAATTTTTTCATTTTTTTTGGAAAGGAAATTTTAATATCAGGTCATTCTTAATTATATGCTTACTTTCAATTGTAATAATTGTGTTTGATATATTTGTCAGTGTTACAACATTTTTTTTCTTGTATTATTTCTGCTTTTGCTCATTCAAACAATATTCATTTGCAGCATACAAAATATGACGGTAGGTTATATTTGTTTGGGTTTTAGCGTAGATGCACCATATTCACAAAGCATGCGTGATATTACGTTTCTATGGTTGTTTTGGTGCAGGCGGATGGATGCATTGCTTCTACATAAGCATGCGTGAATATTGGATATTGCTTTATTGCATTAGCATGTTTGTCTTATTCTAAACATTATTTGATCGTAAAAATTAGCTCAAGCTGAAAAATTGATAATAAATCTGAAGAATGTCTTATTATAGTATTTAGGCATTCCTTGGTTACAAGCACACGCACAATGCTCGAGGCTGTTGCGAGTACAGGACCTAGGGAGAATTTGATGCATGTTAGTGTGCCCTCCGTTAGTGCTAAGCTATTTGTATAATTTGGAATCCTATACCTCTGTGTCAAAGTTGAGCAATCTAATCATTGTTTTAGGTGTTTCCGTTTATGCCATTCATTAATGAAATTTTATGCACTTGATTGACAAACAAATTTTCATGGAATATAGTAATTTGATATTTTTTATATTAATTAGTGGGGAAATAAATATTCTCTTCACATTAAACTTCCGGAGCTTCTCGAATTAATGTCATTATTATGGAAAAATATTTGAGGAAAAAAAAACTATTTTCTCAATAGTGGCTAGAGGATTCCTTCAAGATGTTTTTGCTTGTGCGAAAATTAACATTTTATTTAGTAACATGGCATGATTCGTGATTCAATGTGTTCGTTTTATTCTATTTCTATTGCTATTATTGTACTAGAATTTATTTTTTTGGTTAATTAATTATTGTATCCGGACTATTGCAGTATAAAAGTATTGATGACGAGCTAGCATATTTTTTATGACAATTTGGCTCAGTGTTGAGTTTAAAGGAAAAAAATCATTGATAAACGTCAACAATGAAATGGCTATTAATGAACTATTTTTTTTATCACAGTAGTTCTCTTACTATTAATATGACTCGGGCTATATTAGTAAAATTCGTTCAGTTCTCAAAATGTGTGTTGTCACATTTTGACTGTGAAATCTGCACGAGCCCTAATGTTACATATATTGCATAGAAGATTATTTATTTATTATGAACCTGGAATAACAATGGCCTATTTTTGCAGTGTTGAAAATGGGCTGTTTTGTGAACTTTACAAGGTTGCTTGACCATTTTGATCATCTTTTGTTAGACATTTGTTAATGGCTGAATGCACGCTATTTACAGCTGAAATATTAATCAATCAATATTTTGACGCTTTGTAATTTCAGATATAAGGATTAGAATCATTACATTTCATTTACATGTTGAAGCTCCAAGTGTGAGCTTCTCCAGAAGAAAAAAGGATGGAAATGCTAGTTCCATGAAAGTTCTAGAATAAATCTTACACGCTTTTGCATATAGATTTAGATTGCAATCTCGATTTGTCAGGTGTGAGCTTTGACTAAAATATTTGGAAGAAGGAATCAAGATGATGAAAACTCTATCTCTACTGTAGCTTGAATGAGCAATAGAATCATTCATGCATTACTGACAGTTGCACATTCATACTTGTACCTGCATACACAAGTTCATGCATGCATCATACAAATATTTCTGCATACTCCTTGTGTACATATATACTAATGCTCGTGTTTAATGCATCATATTTATTTAAGTTATACCGTTTATATGCATACAGGTGGATGCATGCACATATAAATACACACACAGTACATCATCACATACCTACATATTGTATATACTATGTATTTTGATTTGTAAGCTTTATGGCTGAAGTCATTTGGAAGAATAAATAGGCCAGAGAATCGGTTTGTCTTGGGTGGTTGAAAACTTTCTTGATGTAGAAGGCATTTATGATTTAGGATTTCTATTCCTGATATATTAGGTGTCATTTCAAATAAACTATGGATACACATTTAAATGTGTTAGACATGTATATTTAATTTTCTGAATTCCTTCATTTATATTCATTTTTAGAGGTTGCTTTTTGGAGTCAACTTATTTTTTATTATAGGCATCATTGGGCTTGTTGATTTAGTTAGATAAGACATTGTTTGCGACATTTGAATTGCCTTGTATTTTTCTTTTGATGACTAGTGGGTTCTTTCGTATAACAATCATCCATGTTGCCCATTCCTTTATTGTTTACTCTATTTTGGTTTTTTGCTGCCAATATCAACACTTTTATGAAAATTTATTGTTATTTGTGTTATTTCTATTATTTTACTACCACTATTATAACTACTACTACTATTATTTGTAGTATTTTGTGTTTTTTTAATTATTCCCTCTACTCAATCTTAGCTTAGATGAAAAAATTTGAGTGTTGTTATTTGATTAATAGTCAATCGTAAAACACTTGTTAAGTATATTGAAATGACTCTTATTAGTTTTGGGGTATTCCTCTCAAGTGACGAACAAATACAGTTTGTAGGGTGAGTAGTAGTAAGTGGGGCACCATAACTTGATCCATTTTTCATGGACTGTAAGAATGTGTGGTTTAGAACATCACTCATATGTGATGTATTATAAATTAACATGATCCCGGTTATTTTAAGAAGGATGAACTAGTTCTAAATTTTACATTTGATTTGCTAGATGAAATTTGTGAGGTTTCAATTGAAAAAAATAGTCTTAGTGGAAAAGTTGAATAAATATTGTTTGTTTAAAAAAAATTAAATGGAAAGGATAAGGCTCCATTG